GTTTATAAACTATGACATTTATAAATGTATGAATCATATGGTGAAAAACTGACTTTGAAAAATAAATCTGTTCTTTTTTTCTTATAAAAGTCTAAATAAAACAAAAATATTGTTGTAATTTTTGACTGACAGCAGCCCATGCCTGAGGGGGTTAATTAAAGGAGGTCTTTGGTTTCATGACTTTTTGTTTTTCATCAGCCTAAAACAGGAGGATTTTGTGGATTTACAGGAGCTGTGATGTAATAAGAGGATGAAAAGGAGCAGAGCAGGATCTCATTAGTTTATGGCTGCCTTTAAACGCTTGTTGTGSCTGTTCCATCCATTGTGTCCAGAACCCAGACAGGATAAGCCCGGGAAAGCGAGTGTAATCCAGCAGGACAGATGTGAGGTCACCACCTCACCTGCTCCCGCGCGCTGTCAGGGGGTCACCTCTGGACACGCGCAGCCAATCATTACCTGACTCCGCGAAGCTGATGATCTCGGAGGTCTCCGCCTGGACCTCGTTGCTGAAGGCGGCCTGTCCGTCAAAGTTGGGGATCTCCACGCGCCCGTCCTCCCTCACTTTGCCCGCGTGCAGCCTCCGCAGCGCCGTCACCATGGCAGCCTTGGGGATGGGGTGCGTGATGTTGGGCCTGTCCTTCATCTGCAGCCGGTTCAGGATGTGCCTCTTCACCGCCTCCACGAAGTCAATGTTCACGCGCTCCGCCTGGTCCGGCGCCCTCAGGCCGCACGAGGCGCACGACTCCGGGGGCGCGCTGTGCGCCTCCGCCGAGCTCCCCGCGCTGCAGAGCGCGGACAGGACGCACGCGACCAAACACGTCAAAGTGTGCGAGCTCATGTCTTCAAAGCTTCACAGCAAACGAGAAGGAAAGGGGTTTCAGCACGCGCGCTGTGCGCATCCACCGGTCCGGTCCGGTCCGGTCCAACAGAGACTCGACCAGAAACTCCACTCAGTTCTGCTTGAATGTCCCGGCTCCGCTCCGCTGACCCAACAGAACCTCAGCGCGCGCTCCGCTCGTAAAATCCAACCAAAAAGCGCGTTTCCATCCGAACAGGAAGGTCCAAAAAGCACACGCGCCTCGGTGCGTCCCGTGCCCGGCGCGCGCAGCGGTGGATGGTCGGCTCTTCTCGTGCGCACTGCGAGCTGCTCACTGAGACCCCCTGTCCGTGTTCGGAATCACCACAACAGGGGCTCCGCGAACCCAAAGTTTTTATACAGCCGAACCACGTGGGGATCTCCACCCACCGCGGGATTATCTGCTCCGGCTCCAGAACCAAGAGAGGAGGTTCGGTTCTGTCCTCCTGCTGCTCCTGCTGGGAACCAACAACTTCTCTGCTTTTACTCTGTAACAAGTCCGACAGGAGTCCGGTCCTGGACCCGGTTTAAAGATCCAGTTCATCTCCAACCATAAAGTCACTTTTCAACTCAAAATTAAACCATTAATCATTTAAACGGGTTAAAATAATAATCAGAAACAGAAATATGTTCATAAAACACGGATAAATCAGATGAAGTTCCTGGTTGTGCAGCTTTAAAAATGTTTCTGTAACTTTGTGTTTTAGTATTTACAAACTCAGGTTTTAATGTTTTTATTTAAACACGAGATAAAATAATTATAATTATATGAGAGAGAACTGTAAGGATCGCTGCAGGAGCCGGGGATCGAACCCGCGACCCTCCTATTAGAAGATAATCCGTCAGGCTCTGATTAGAAAACAAACAGCGCCATCTACCGGCGGCTGATCATATCTGCTAATATTAATGTGTCTCTGATGTTTTTACATCAAACTTCTGCAGTTTGTTATTTTAGCTGATCTTATAAGAGTTCAGCTCATTCAGCTGATGGCTGCTGTAACTTTGTCACAACTTGGTGGTGAGGAGAACCCAACATGCAGGCAGGCCAAACTTAAAGTAATAAAAAAGACTTTAATAAAGAAAAAGGCCAACGTGGTGGCAAAATAACAAACCAATMAGTGAAAACTTGGAGCATGAGGACAGAACAAACATGGATGAGCACTGGTCTGAGGCTGAAGTGATGAAGAGATGATCCTTAAATACAAACAGGCCTGAGTGGAAGCAGGAAGCAGCTGATTCCACCTGAGGACAGGTGAGTGTGGCAGGCTGGAAAAACACTGAGAAGCTGCCTGAGGTCAACATGGAGCAGGAAACTGAAAACAGGAAATGAGAAAATAAGACAAAACCAAACAATGAAAAACAATCTGAAAAATACAAACAAAAATAACCAAAACACAAGAATCATGACATTCACTTTTAATACTTAAAATATCACATACTTTAAGACTTTTACTCAAGTAATATTCCTAAAGGACACTTTAACTTTTACCAAAGTATGTTTTTGTAAGATATTTGTACTTTTACTCAAGTATCACTTTGTGGTATTTAATACACTGGTATTTTGCTACCGTTTAGCTTTTGGCTATCATTGTTCTTTGTTCTGTTTTTGCTATTTAGTTTTCAGAGTTTTTGCTAGTTTCAGTTTCTATTCAGCCTTTCAATACTTTGTGACCATCATCAAAAAGAAGAYTAAGTCAAATTTGGTCAAAATGATCTAATTATATTTTCAGATTCCTGCTTTAAAAGCTACATTTTGATACCTGGATCATTCTGATGTAAGTTTATTTGTCTTGTTGGTTATGTAAATACATCACTGTTTGGTCTGAATCCTAAATAGATGTAAATTTATTGAATATTTTTATGTCAATATAAAGAGGATACCTCAAATATTATTTGTATTTTAAGATTTCCCAGTTGGAAAGAAACAAAAACATTGTTAGCTCACAGGGAAAAATTGCTTCAAATTATGTTTAGAATATTTCAGACAGTTCATTCAAATGATACATTGAAAAGACATTAATTCATTAAATTTTGACAAAATGTGATTTTYAGCACACATTTAAATCAAACCATAAATATGCTTGTTTCAACACTTTTGGACTTAATCCACGTTTTGATGTGACAGGTCACAAATTACATCTCACCTGTTAGCAATAGCTTTTTTTTTTTTTTTAGCTTTTAGTTATTTTGTGCCTTGTACCAACTCAGTTTCTTCAGCTACTACTAAAGTCATTCAGCTCTCAGAGACAGTTTTCACTAAAAATGTGTTTTTTTTGTTACAAACTAATTCTGAGCAGTTTATCCATAAAACTAAATCTAAAGACATAAAATGATGGACAGAATAAAAACTTTCTAAAATATGTTTTCAGGAGCAAGAAGACCTGAACATGTGAACCAGATCCACAGATGCTGGTCTCTGCAGGACTCTGAGTCCTGTCAGGTGAAGAGGAGCTGCTGCCTCAGTGAAGCACGGAGGTGGAGTCATGATGCTGTGGGGTTTGGACTGAACTGAAGCTCAGATATTAACTCTACAGAACACCTGAGATGCTTTTACACATTTCATTTCAGGTGATTTTCTGATGAACATGATGAACCCTGAAAATAACAACCAGCTGTTTTATTTCAACATTATTTATTTATTTATTTATTTTATTTATCAATTGTACAAAAATACAAACTGACAGAAATAAAACTTTATTTATAAAA